AGCGGATGAGGGTGCCGGCTTTAGGCCCACTCTGGAGGTGCACAACAGGAGGCGAGATGAGATAGAGGTGTGTGTGTGTGTGCACGCGTGCGTGTGCGCGTGTGATTGTGCGTGCGTGTGCGCGCGCGTGTGCAAGTACCAGGGCTTGAACCTAGGGCCTTGTGCTCACCTGGGCTTCCCTCAAGGCTGGCTTTCTGGCTCCACTGGTTTTCGCTGGCTAGCCCAGCACGTGGCTGCATCTGTTTGTGTGAAGGGCGCAGGGCTCGCGGGGAGAGCTCTCACGGGAATCACCTTTGTGTAAGTTCAGGAGCTTGTGGTGAACGTGGGTCATTCTTCCGCGAGTCGCAAAGCACTTTGGGTTGGAGGACACGTTGTGGGTGCCGGGGAGGAGGCATGGAGGGGGGTCGTGGGAAGGGTCAGGGCCATGTGAGAGATGGTTCTGGAAGAACTAGGCACCAGTGACAGACTTGTGCCCCACTCCCCCAGCAGAAATCCAGTGGGCAGGCGCCGAGGGTGCAGCCCGCTTCCACGGAGGCCTGCTGGGGAGCGTGAGGCCACACCAGCACCTCCCCTGCCCCCCCCCTCCAGTAGGACACCGCAGGGGCAGCTGAGGGCCACAGCGTGGCTTCCGTGGCTGAGTGCCTCCCACCCCAGGAGCACTGGGACCACCGAAAACCTGACACACAGCAGCCTAAGAAGGCCAACAGTCTTAAGGCATGGCTCAGCTGGCGCAGGCTCAGGTTCAGCCTTGCAGGCTCAGGTTCTCCAGTTCAAATCCCAGCACTGCATGAAGAAGGAAGGAAATAGTCTAGGAAAGGCACTGCCAAGTGTCAGCAGAGTAGCTGTTCTTTTTTTGGTCGGTTGTGGGGCTTGAACTCTGGGCTTGAGCGCTGTCCCTTCGCTCTCCAGCTCAAGGCGAGTGCTCTATCACTTGAGCTACGGCGCCACTTCCGGCTTTCTAGTGGTTTATTGGAGATGAGTCTCATGGAGGGCTGGGAAGGTGGCTCAGCAGCAGAGCGCTTGCCTTGCATGCCTGAGGCCCTGGGTTTGATTCCTCAGCACCACATAAGCAAAAAGAAAAAAGCCGGACGTGGCGCTGTGGCTCAAGTGGTAGAGCGCTAGCCTTGAGCTGAAGAGCTGAGGGACAGTGCCCAGGCCCCACGACCAGCCCCCCCCCAAAAAAAAAGTCTCACGGACTTTCCTACCTGGCTGGCTTTTAATGGCAATCCTCAGATTTCAGCCTCCTGAGTAGCTAGGATACAGGCGCGAGCCGCCAGCGCCCAGCTAGGATACAGGCGCGAGCCGCCAGCGCCCAGCAAGGATACAGGCGTGAGCCGCCAGCGCCCAGCTAGGATACAGGCGTGAGCCGCCAGCGCCCAGCTAGGATACAGGCGTGAGCCACCAGTGCCCGGCAAGAGTATCGTTTCTATAGGAGAGAACTAGTCTGACAGGCGGTGCCTCACCCCTGTAATGCCAGCCACTCAGGAGGCTGAGATCGTCTTGGTTCAAAGCCAGCCTGGGCAGGAAAGTCCGAGAGACTCTGATGAACCAGAAAACCAGAAGTGGCACCGTGGCTCAAGTGGTAGAGCACTTGCCTTGAGCTGAAGAGCTGAGGGACAGCGCCCAGGCCCAGAGTTCAGGCCCCATGACTGACAAGAGAGAGGGTAGGGGGAGAGAGAACCAGTGCACAAATAAGGCTGTCCCCGTTTCTCCTTGGGGACACAGAGCCCGCTGCGGGGACCCTGCTGTGCTGGGGAGAACTGCACAGGTGCGGGCCGTGTCCCCGAGCGGAGCGGGCCAGGTGCGCGCCAGGTGCGTCTGTGCTGTCAGCTGTCCCCAGGTGGCTGTGGAGGAGCTCTGGGACTCCGGGAGGCAAAGGAAGCCGAGTCTCACGCCACCTTCAGGGCTCGTCCCGATGGGGCCTTCGGCGCTGCCAGCCCTGGGGCCTCAGACCTGGCGAGCCGGGTACCCCGGAGGAGGAAACCCTGGGGCTGTGGCATTTGCTTTTGAAAATAGTAACCACATCTTATCTGCATTCTTCATCCCTTTAAAAATCCGTTTCAGTTTGGCATTCTTGGCTTGTTCTGCACAATTCCAACAGCTGGAGTCCCGGTGGGTCTTGATGGGGGAGGGGGAGGTGGGGCAGGGCCCCTGCTGCCCTGGGGCTGGCCCGGGCCTGTCTGCGGCTGTGTGAATCTGGGTCATAGGGCGCCCCGCATGGTGGTTCTCGCCCTCAGCCCCTCTCTGTCTGACCCTGCCATCTCCCTTGGCCTCCAGCCATCCCACAGCAGGAGCTCCGCCAGCCAGGCAGAGCTGCGCGGCCCAGCTCTGGGTCAGAAATTTGAGGGGTTTCTTGTTTGCTTTTTTACATGGGAAAACCAGAGGGTCTGGGCTGGGGCTCAGCTGACTTCACTGTTACTTTGCTTCCAGTCTGTGGTGTAGTTTGGTTTGGGCCAGGCCGGGGCCTTGAATTCAGGGCCTGGGCGCTCGCTGTCCCTGGTTTTTCGGCTCAAGGCTAGCGCTGTACAGCTGGAGCCACGGCTTCATTTGTTTTTTGTTTTGCTTTTGGTGGTGAAGCGGAGATGAGAGTCTCGCTGACTTTTCTGCCTGGGCTGACTTGGAACTGCAGTCCTCAGATCTCAGCCTCCTGAGTAGCTAGGATGACAGGCATGAGCCACGGGCTCCCTTCCACCCCATTGCCCCCACCCCACCCCGCCACCTACAAGTGGCTCCCCCAGGTCTCGGGCAGCCTTGCTGATTTGTGGGTCACTGCAGCCTGGCTCTGCTAGCCTTGGCACCACGTCCTTGCTGATGCCAGGTGCTGCTCGTACGAGCCCAGGCCCGGCTGCCCTGACACACTTCGCCCGTCCTGCTGGGGTCCCCAGCCCCTGGGGACCCTGAAGAGGCTTTCCTGAGGATTCTGTGCCCCCCTTTTCCCACCACCGGTGGCAGTGGGGAGAAAGGCACAGCTCTGGTCTCAGGAACCGCTCGTTAGAATGTTTTATTAACGCTTTTGGAGTTGGCAAAATCTGGGCTGTGTTTTGACAAACACATTTTTCCCTCTTTTTTTTTGGGGGGGGGGCTGATATATTTTAAGGGAAACCCAGCCCTCGGTCGTCTCCTCAAAGTGTTTGCTCCGGCCCTGCATTCTTCTCCAAGCTCCCTGGTGCTGCTGTAGTCTCCAAAAGGGGGAAACTTTGCAGCTTAAAATTCTGTTTCTTAGAACCCAGAAAGTTGAGTTCTTCCGAGTAACTAAACCCTGACCCCCTCCCCCGCAAAAAAAAACAATTAGCCGGATACCCAGGAGATTCTAAAACCTCTTTATCTGACACCAGCCAGGGAAACACAATGCTAAAATAAGATCACAAACCTCCGCCGCGCCTCTCCACATAGTGTGATTAAGCCAGGGGGGAGGGGCGCATGCACACCTGTAATCATCGCCAATCAGCCACTGAAAAAACTGGACACGGAGCCATGGCTCAAGCAGAGCACTAGCCAGGAGAAAAACAAGCTCCAAAAAAGAGAAAGAAAATGAAAAGGAGCCCAGCACGTCCAGGCTTTCCAGTCCTTTCCCTCCTTGTCTCCTGTGTCCCGGTCTTCCCCGCTGCCCCCAGCAGGACACGAGAGCTACGTGACCTTCTGCCAGCTGGAGGAGGCATCTGCCTTCACGTGCAGCGCAGACTGCACCATCCGCCGGTGGGACGTGGCCAGCGGGCGCTGCGTGCAGGTGTACCGTGGCCACACCTCCATTGTGAACAGGTTAGCCCGCCCAGGGGGCACACTTCCACAGGGAACAGGTTAGCCCCGCGTGGAGCTGTGAGGGCGCTTGGCTGGGGGACCCTGACTTCAGAACTGGAGCCGACTGCCTGGCCACAGGGAGCTGGGGGAGGAGCAGGAGAGGAGGTGGGTGCTTGGACTCAGTGCGCCTGGGCATCCTGGGTGCCGGGGGAGGCGGGGGCTGCGCTGCGTCGGGATGAGGACGCTCAAGTTGAAGGCACAGTTGGTACAAGGGCAGGCCCAGGGCTGGGAGGAGAAAGGGGATTGCTGGGAAGAGGCATTTTTCAAGCTCCTTTGCAGAGCCAGGCACTGTGGCTCTAAGAGGCTCACATCTGAGGATACCGGTTAGAAGCCAGCCTAGGTAGAAAGGTCCATGGGATTATCTTCAACTAACCAATGAAAAGCCAGGAGTGGAGGCGCGGCTCAAGTGGTAAAAGCACCATCCTTGAATGGTAAAAGCCACAAGGCCCTGAGTTCAAGTCCCAGGACTGGAAAAAGAAAAACAGCAACTACCACCAACAAATGAAAACTCCTTTCCTCATAGCCTTTGAGTGCACTTCTTAGGGGCTTGCTGGCTTGTTTCCCTTTTGAACCTGGGCTTGTGCCGTGATGCCACTTCCGTTGCTGGTCAGACCAGTTTGATACCTTTTGCCATCTGTGATGGTCACGCAGGGCTCTCGGTCACAGCGGCCTGGGTGGGCCCCGGGCTGGGGCAGGCAGACACGGGACCAGCCACTGGCCACTGAGAGGCTTTGGGGCTGGGCTAACCCAGCCTAGCACTCCAAGATGGTGGGCCTACTCTAGGCTAGTGCTCTACCCTTTGAACCACAGCACCACGCCTGGTGTTCTGGTGGTTCGTTGGTGATGAGGCCCTCAGACGTTCCTGCCCAGGCTGGCTCCTCAGGTCTCAGCCTCCTGAGTAGTCAGGATTCTAGGCGTGAGCCGCAGTGCCCAGGGCCCTGTCCTCCCATGCCCATGTAGAGGGTCTGTCTCTGAGTGGGCCCAACGTGTGGCTCGCGTGTGGAGGCTTGGTCTGCACTGGTGGTGGGAGCCAGGCCAGCGGGCGGCTCACCCGGATTGAGGAGGGGGTCGTTGGAGGGCGCCAGCCGGCCTCCTGGAGGCAGGCGCTCTGGCCTGGGCCTCGAATGTTGTGGGTGGCGACTGCAGACCAAGGGGCTGTTCCAGTGCCAAGGCTAGCCCCCGGGACCCCCCTGTGGGTCCGCACCCCGTGAGCACCCCACCCTTTGCCTGCAGGATCCTGGTGGCAGATAACCAGCTGTTCAGCAGCTCCTATGACCGCACGGCCCGTGCCTGGACGGTGGAGCAGGGGCAGGTGACCCGGGAGTTCCGGGGCCACCATAACTGTGTGCTGACCCTGGCCTACGCTGCCCGCCGGGACGCCCCCGTGGCCTCGCCCCGCATGGAGGCCCCCGTGGCCGGGGGGCTGCTGGTGACCGGCAGCACAGACGGTACGGCCAAGGTGTGGCAGGTGGCTAGTGGCTGCTGCCACCAGACCCTGCGGGGCCACACCGGGGCCGTGCTGTGCCTCGTGCTGGACGCGCCGGGCCACACGGCCTTCACGGGCAGCACCGACGCCACCGTCCGTGCCTGGGACATCCTGAGCGGCCAGCAGCTGCGGGTGTTCCGGGAGCACCAGGGCTCCGTCATCTGTCTGGAGGTGAGAAGGGCCCACCGGCCACGGCCCTGGGAAGCTGGGCCCGAGGGAGGAGCCCCAGGGGCCCAGGCACCAATGGAAGGCCGCTGTCACCATCCAAGCCCCTCCCCGTGTGCCGGTCCTGACTTCCTTGGGGCCTACGTTTGCCATCTTTGCTTCATTTGTTTTCTGATCCTAGGGCTTTTCTGAGCCTGGGCGCTGTCCCTCAGCAGCTCAGGGCTAGCCCTCTACCACTTCAGCCACAGCGCCACTTCTGGTTTTCTGGTGGTTCATTGGAGATAAGAGTTTCAAAGACTTTCCTGCCTGGGCTGGCTTTGAACTGTGATCCTCAGATCTCAGCCTCCTGAGTTGCTAGGATTACAGACGTGAGCCACTGCACCACCAGTGACCTTTGGGGGACACATTCAGATCCCAGCAATGGGAACCTTCCGGAAAAATGGACACTAAGTGAATGAAAAGGATGAAGTAGTAAAAATGAGTGGATTAGGGCAGGTCCTGCAGAGGCCACGGCAGGCCAGGTGGGTTTAATGAGTCCTTTTGGAGCCGAGGGCTGAGTGCCGTGGCGTAAAACATAATTCCAGCATGAGGAAGGCAGAGGCGGGAAGATGGCTGCATTTTGGGCTAGCTTGGGCTACAGCACAGAACGATCTTGTCTTAAAACTAAAGAATCTCACAACTTTCCTGCCCCGGCTGGCTTTGAACGGTGACCCTCAGATCTCAGCCTCCTGAGTAGCTAGGATGACAGGCGGGAGCCCCAGCAGCCAGCTTCCTTCATGGTTTTAGGTGTGTGGTTTAAAAACTTCAGCTAGGACTGGGCACGGGAGGCTGGAAGCTGGAGCTTTCAGTTTGAAGTCAGCCTGGACAGAAAAGCCTGTAAGACTCATTCCAGTGAAGCACCAAAAAGCTGGAAGTGGAGGCGTCGCTCAGGTGGTAGAGTGGCAGCCTTGAAAGAAAAAGTTAGGCAGGAGTGCCACGCTCCAAGTTCAAGCCTCGGTACCGGCACAAACTCCCAAGCCCCTCAGACGTGGACCATTTCAGATGTAACGGGAAACAGACACATGGCTGAAGCCACGCTTGAGACCACATGTGGATGTGAGCACTTTAAAGGAAGGAAGCAGGGCTTGGGATGCAGCTCAGAGGCAAAGCACTTGCCTGGCAAGTTCAGGGTCCTGGGTTCAATCCCCGCGACCGAGAGGACAAGAAACCACCACCTTTGAAGGCGGAGACCGGGCCCTCGGTGTGAAGTGGGCTCTCCCTGGGAGCCTGCTCCAGGGCCTTCTACACTCATCCAAGCCTGTCAGCCCTGAGGCCCATATTCCCCTCCCATCATAGGGAGATCAGGGGCAGCCAGGACCGCAGAGACTTGGTGCCTTGTGGGCCAACCCTCCCCCTTCCTCCTCCAGCTCACGGACCAGCTCCTGTACTCAGGTAGTGCCGACCGGACCGTCAAGTGCTGGCTGGCTGACACGGGGGAGCCAGTGCGCACCTTCCCGGCGCACGGGCACAGCGTGAGCGCCGTCAAGTACCACGCAGGCACCTGTGAGTAGTGCACTAGGCCCCACCCTGTCCTCTCCCTAGGTTTGCCCTGCCTTTTTCCTGCCTGTGTGGTTTTCCTTCACTGAACCGTGGCTGCTCTGAACACAGGTCCCAGGCTCTCCCGGGAGCTGTTAATCTTGCTTTTTTTTTTTTTCCTTTAAGTAGTTGTACAGAGGAGTTACCACTTAACGGTTTAGGAATATATTTGTCACCCTTTTCAACATTCCCACCCATCTGTCCCCTACCCAGCCCTTCTCTCACTCTTAATTTTGTAGGAATATACATCAGATTCTTTTATAGTTTAAGTTTTTTGTTATGGTAAAGGTGGTCTTGCTTTTGGCAAAGAAGGTTCACACAGGAGCCAGCCAGACCTCAGGCTCATGGGATTTGGCCTGCTTTGACTTTAGGTTGGACTAGAAGGGAAAATCCAAATAATAGTAATTTGAGAACGAGGTCATGGTGAATTTCCTTGTCAGGCAGATGACTTTAAGAGGCTGTCAAGCCTGGAAGCGAGGACCCCACAGACCCCAGTTCCTTCCAGCGCTCCTTCCTCCTTCGCTCTCTTCTGCCTCATGGAACCTCACAGTTTCTGATAGCTGCGGGAATACCAGCCTTCACGCGGCATGCCACATTTTAGCCAGGCAGGAAGAGCAGGGAGGGAAGAACAAAGGATTGCTTCTGCTAGATAACCAGCCCCTTTAAGGCCACCTGCAGACCTTCCCTGAGGCTGCCGTGCCCAGCGCAGACTAGATGTCTGGAACCTTATTTTAGCAATGAGCTGGGATTATTCTATATAGAAAGGGTAAAGTCGGGCCCTGGTGGCTCACGCCTATAATCCTAGCTACTCAGGAGGCTGAGATCTGAGGATCCCAGTTCAAAGCCAGCCCAGGCAGGAAAGTCTGTGAGACTCTTATCTCCAATGAACCACTAGAAAACCGGAAGTGGTGCTGTGGCTCAAGCAGTAAAGCGCCCGCCTTGAGCTGAAGAGCTCGGGGACACGTTTAAACCTCACAACCACCACCACCAACAACAAAAAGGGCAGACAAGACGCTGGATGCTACCCACTGCCGGTAGCTCGCTCCTGTTATCATAGCTACTCGGGGGCTGAGATCTGAGGACCCTAGTTCAAAGCCAGCCCGGGCAGGAGAGTCTTTGTTGGTGCCGGTCCCAGGTGTTGAACTCAGGGCCTGGGTACTGGCCAGCTTTTTTTATTCAAAGCTAGCACTTTTGATACTTGAGCCACAGGTCTACTTCTGGCTTTTTCAGTAGTTAATTGGAGATAAAAGAGTTTCACAGACTTTCTTTCCTGTTAGGGCTGGCTTTGAACCATGATCCTCAGCTCTCAGCCTGCTGAGTAGGTAGCATTACAGGCCTGAGTCACCAGTGTCTGGCTTCTGTGACACTCTCTCTAGTTACCTAGCAAAAAAGTTAGAAATAGAGTATGGTTCATGTGGGAGACCACCAGCCTTGAGCAAAATAACTAAAGAGACAGCACCCAGGCCCTGAGTTCAAGCCCCAGTACTGGTCCAAACAAAACCAAAACACATCTCTCACCTCAGGACACGGCTTTGCAGTGTGTTCCCGCAGCGCCCTGGGGAGGGGAGGAGGGAGACAGCCGGGCGGGCCCAGCGTGCGGCTTGTGTCTGCAGTGTTCACGGGCAGCGGGGACGCCTGCGCCCGGGCCTTCGATGCCCAGTCTGGAGTCCTGCAGAGGGTGTTCCGGGGCCACGCGCTGGTCATCAACTGTCTCCAGGTAGCCTCCCCCGCCCCTGTGCCCCGGGGGAGTACAGCCCTCCACCCGGGAGAGGGCCCTGCCCGGCTGACACCCACCCTGCCCACCCACAGGTGCACGGCCAGGTGCTGTACACAGCATCGCACGATGGGGCTCTGCGCCTGTGGGACGTGCGCGGGCTCCTGGGCCCTCCACCCCCTGCACGCAGGCCTGCAGCCACGCGCAGCCTGTCCCGGCTCTTCAGCAACAAGGTGGCCTGTGCGGCCTCCGCGCCTCTGCAGCCCGCCTGAGCCCAGGGAAGCTCAGGCCCTGCAGACCTGGCCCTTGCCCACAGCGAGGCCCGTCTTCCCCCACGGCAGCCAAGGCCTGTTGTTCCCCCGGCCTGCAGCCGCCCAGCTCAGGCACCTCAGCCTGAAGGCTCCACTCTTAGAGCCAGGGGCTGTGGAGCCTCGGCACGGAAGCCCCGGAAGCCGGCCTCCTCCTCCTGCCCCTCATCAAATACACTTCCTTCCAAGCGCTCGAGTGTGGCTTGTTTGGCAACTGAGCCTGGCTTCCTTGTGGAGGTGACGGCTAAGCATGGGGTTCTGTGGCCATCCCGTGGGCAGTGGGGTCTCTGCCTGCTGAGTCCCAGGGCCTCTGCACGGAGGTGTGACTAGGAGGGCATGCACGGTCCCTGGCTTTGCGCTGAGGGCCATTGTGGGACAAGCGTGGAGGAGACACACAGCACACCAGACGCACTGGGTGGGGGGAGGGGGGCTCGGCAGGTGGTGTGTGGGAGCCGGACTCACCTGAAGGGATGCTGTGGTCCTGCAGGCCAGGCTCTGGTGACCTCGAGCACAGAAAGAGGTGACAGACGGCAGCTGACATTTAAAGTTCACACTGTAATCCTAGCTCGGGAGGATGACTTCTGAGGATCATGGTTCAAAGCCAGCCCAAGCAGCAAAGTCCATAACTCTTGCTCCAATAAAAACTACTGAAAATGTAGAAGTGAAATTGTGACTCAAGTGGTGCTAGTCTTGAGCAAAAGCAGCTCAGGGACAGTGCCCAGACTCTTTTGAGTTCAAGCCCCAATGCACACGTGCGTGCACATGTGCACACACAGCTCAGGAGCTGGCTTGCAGATCAGCCCCTGAGGCGGGCACTGTGCCTCTGACTTGTGGAGAGAGGTGTTTCTTTGGTAAGGTCCAGTGCCCTTGAGTCTCAGGCTCCATGGGCCATACCTACGCTCTTGAGATCTCAGGCCCCATGAAAGAATGGCATTAAGGGAAGGAGGGACTCACACCTTTGCAATAAAGCTGCAGCCACAGGAAGTGGCTGTTTGGTGGCAGACAGAATCCGGGAAGTGGAACCTAACATCCTTAGGGTGGGACTTACTTGGGTGTTCACAGGCGAGGGGACCAGATCCGGCAGGCTCTGCAACTCCCCGCGGGGCCAGGTGGAGCGGGGTTGTAGTGAGTGCAGGCACACTGAGCTGCCTGCTGGTCCTCCCGTCCCTTCTCCCAGAGGCTGACACCGCCTGGTGACACTCACGTGGCCACAGTAAACACACTGCCATCTACCCAGCCAGGGTAACGCCCCTGCACGCCGAGTCTGTGCCGCCCATTCAGTCAGTCAGGAAGCCGCCATTGTGTACTGATTTAGCACAACACATTCCACCAAGAGACTGGCTTGATGCTAGACCATGAAGGTGGCCCGTCCCCTCCTGGCCCCCACGAGCCTAAGATGGGTAGCTGTGGTGCTGTTGCGCGGCCTCAGACAGGCCCGGCCCCTCCCATCACCAAAAGAACCAGAGTAGGGCTTGTAGCTCAGTAGTAGAGCTCTCTGTTAGTATCTGGGCAAGCTGGGTGCCAGTTGCTCACTGCTGTAATGCAAGCCATTCAGGAGGCTGAGGATCAAAGTTCAAAGCCAGCCTGGACAAGAACGCCCATGAGACTCATCTCTAATTAACCACACACACACACACAAAACCAACAAAAAATACCACAAGAGGAGCTATGGCTCAAGTGGTAGAACCTTGAACAAAAAATAGCTCAGGGACAGCACCCAGGCCCTGAGTTTAAGCCCCAGGACTAGTGGAGCAAACAAAACCCTGGGTTCAGTCTCCAGCAGCACCCCAAAAAGGGAGGGAGAATAAGACACCAGGTGTATGTGTGTGGTCAATCCAGAAGATGAGAAAATGCGCATGCGCCTGTGACGGGTCTCAGCCGGCCGGGGGAGGACAGGAGGCTGGCGGCCGGGAGGGCAGTGTAAGCATGGCCAACGTCAGACCCAGCTGAGTCCATCCTCCACTGCCTTAGGCAAAGCTCAGTTGTGTGTCCCCCTCACACCTGCGCAGGTCTGCAGGTGAGCCGGGACAGCCAGGGCACTGGGCCATAGCACGCCTCCCAGCCTCAGCTCTGCCCAACACACCTGCACAGGTCTGCAGGCGAGCCGGGACAGCCAGGGCACTGGGCCATAGCGCGCCTCCCAGCCTCAGCTCTGCCCCTGTCATTTGCCCCAGGTATGGAATATTCTTTCTCCTCTGGCTCTCGGAGACCCTCCTGGGCCCGGCCGGACTCTCAGCCTCAGTCCCCCCACAGCAGTCTCAGCCAGGCCCAGCAGGTCGCAGCTCTTTCAGGACAGCAGCACTTCCTGTCCGCTGGTACAATGGTGCTGCCCACGCTTTAAACCAATCAGCCTTCCTTCCAGCTGCTGGGACACCGGCACCACATGTGCAGGAGGCCCAGGTCAGGGGCTCTTCAGGTCAGACCCGAATCCAGGCACATTTTCACCAGTGAAGCCCAGGCTCTCCACTGGGTGGCCTGCTTCATGGAGACCTGCTCCTCCCCAAGCCCTATTTTCCATCCATGCCCTTTCCAAAGCAGCAACTACCATCACTGGGAGTGGAACCCAGGGTGGCATGTGTGCCAGGCAAGCGATCTATATATACAGCCCATGACTACAGAGGTTTTCAAGATGGCAAACCACAGTCAGGTACTGGTGGCTCCTATCTATCATCCCAGCTACTCAGGAGACTAAGATCTGAGTCAGACAGTCCATGAGACCCATCTCTAATTAACCACCAAAAACAAGTGGAACTGTGGTGCAAGTGGCAGAGCACCAGCCTTGAACAAAAAAGGCTAAGGGATAGCACTCTGGTCCTGAGTTCAAGCCCTCGTATTGATACCAAAAAACCCCACATCAAACCACAGAGCATTTTAGCTACTTACTGCAGCTAGGCCAACACGTTTCAAAGGGCTTTTCCACCTTTTATTTCCATCAGTACCCTCCACTGTAAAAGAAAGACGAGAGACCGTTTCCACTCAGCCACACTAGTGCTGTGTGCACCTGCTGCACAGCTCAAGCACCACAGTCAGCCCTGGCGGCGGCACAGCCCATGTAGCCTGCAGTCCACGCTGTGCACATCTGCTGCTCCATCGGTCACAGCTGCCGCCCCCAGGCTGAGTAGTGGAAGGCTGCTGTCCAGGCCACATCAAGAGGGATGCTGGACATGGGGAGGAGTTACTTCAGTCAATTGAAGGCTGACCGCACGCCCAAGGCATAGTCTTCTGTCACCCAGCTATGACAAATCCCCAGCAGAAACTTGGAAAAAATACATCTAAGTCTCTGACAGCTAGCCGTGACTTTATGATAGCAGTCTCAAAATATTAATTAGAATAGGTGCTTTGATTAATATGTTATTTAATACAAGATTTTCACTTTGAACAAGGACTGACACATAGGGAGCGATCGCAACCTTGAATTTTAAGTGGGTGTTTTGCTGAACTCATAGGAACCACTGTTTCAAGATAAAGCATTTGCCGGGAGGGACTGAGCCTTGTCAGCACACGGCCCTTGGCCGGAAGGCCGGAGTAGCATGGCAGCTGCGAGCGCGGGGCTGGCCGGCATGAGCAGAGGGGCCTCTCCAAAAGCGGTTTGAGAGCTACACAGGAAACAAGCCGGGCCCAGCACACCCAACTGTCCCCTGTGCCCCGAGACCCCAGGGAGCACGGCCCCTTGCTCCTGTGGTGAGCCTGCTCTTTGGTTGTAGATGGGCAGGCAGGGAGGCGGAGTCGGGAGCCAGAAGGAACAGCAGAGTCAGGCCAGAGCGTGCTCCTTCCCAAGTCCCCCTTATCTCTGTCCTCTGCGGGGGTCCCCTGCGGCCCCTCCTACACCAAAGAACAAAACCCATCAACAGCAAATGGAACACAAGGAAGGCCTGCATTAGAATTTTCACAATGACGGGATTTATAAGCAGAAACTTAGCACTTATTTCTGTTCATTCTCTAGTTTTTCTTAGGGGCTGACTTTATGTGTTCTACGTAGGATAAGTACTCTGCGATAATCATCTCTTCATCCTCCAGCGTGGAGTCCAGGTAGTCCTCCTCGTGCTCGGGGATGTCCTCCAAGATCTCGTTGACGGCCTCTGTCTCCATGTCTTCATCAGTGGAGGCGCTTGAGGTTCCTGCAGGGCACAGCAGGTTGGGGGGAGGGGGTGTGAGGACAGTGGCCTGGGCCGGCTGCAGTTGGTTCGCCCCAGTGGCAGCCAGCGCCCGGTCTCTGTTCACAGGGCTCGCTGGGGCCGCAGCCTACCTGCGGAGTCCGAAGGAGACGTGGATGGCGTAGAGGAGTCGTCCTCCCCCGAGAACTGCAGGTCGGGAGGAAGGGTCCCTCCGTGGTGTGCCAGGGTCTGAGCTGCCAGCTGGACGTTGCCCCCAAACACCCGCAGCGCGGCTTCGGCCACAACTGTGTCAAAACCCATGTACACCAGCTGGGGAGGACACAGCGACAGGCGTGTTCATGAGCAAGGCTGAGGCCTACGGGACCCACCTCGCCTCAGGCTGCCCAGCACGCACACAACCGCCCTTCCTGCAGGCGCTCTTTGGCCAGTGGGCCTCAAGCCCTCAGGAAGGGGTCTTGGAAGACTTGGGTTCACAGATCCTGGAGTCGGCCAGGCCAGGCCAGGCCAGGCAGCACCGTGCTGCTCACACCCAGCCACAAGTACTGCAAGTGAAGCGGCCACCACGCTCAAGGCACATAAGGTGCATGGAGCCGGCACATGGGACAGGAATCCACTACAGCTAGATCCATGAGAGAAGTGGCCAGATCGTGTCAACGCCTCCCCGGCTCCTGGCCCTGCAGGCACCCTGCCTGGCCGGCTCGCTCAGGGGCTCCCGGGCAGGCACCTGTGGCCCGGAACCGCCCGCCCACGCAGGCGCCAGGGTCCCTCACTCACTTGGTCGATGCTCTCCTGGGCAGGGCTTCCTTGGTGGCCATTAGTGTCAGACTCTGAGCCGTGCAGCCACCACAGGTGAGGATTGCTGAGGAGGAACTGGACACACGGGACCATCACTCATCCCCAGTGAAGCCACAGCCCCCACACACGTGGGGGGCACAGCCCCAGCGCCATGGACTCGGGGACCAGCAGGTGAGGAGCACTGTGCAAGGGGCAGGGAAGCAGGGAAAGGGTCCCACCCCAGGCTGTGATCAGGGAAGCCCACCGAAGGGATTCTGAGGACAAGATAAGAGTGGGGTGAGAGCAGCCAGGCTTGTCAAGGCTCATGGAGGCTAGCAGGGGCCACGGTGGAGACCGCTGGCTCAGAGCTCAGCTCTGGAGGCGAGTGCCACAGCAGAGGCTCAGGCAGCTCAGAGCTCCCCAAGGATACCAACCAAGCAGAGTGGTGGCCAAGCATGGTGGTATGCACCTGTAATACCAGCTACACCAAAGGTGCACATCAGGCCAGACTGCAAAAAGTTAATGAGATCTCATCTCAACCCACAAGCCACAACCCTAGCTAGTGGAAGACAGAGTTCTAAAGGATCATGGCCCAAAAGCTCAAGCAAACACATAAGACCCTGTCTGGAAAAATAACTAAGCAACATGGCTGAGACTGTGGCTCAAATGTAGTGCACCTGCCTCAAATAAACCCATGGGGCCTTCTGAAATATGGGATGGGATAAAAGGCGTGCGGGGCAAGCTGCTCCTCACTTCCCCTCCTGCCCGCTGCCTGCCATGAACCCCACACACAGAGCAGAGGAGGAAAGCAGAGAATCAGGCCTGTGGGATTTAGCTCAGTGTTTGTCTCCACTGGTGTTTGGTGACAAGGTCTTCCATGCCAACTAGCTGCCACGCAGCGCAGGTCCTGAGCCCGCCACAACTTCATTGCTGGGCACGGCTGCTCACACCTAGAATCTTAGCTACTCAGGAGACTGAGAGCTGAAGATCACGGTTCAAAGCCAGCCTGGGCAGGAAAGTCTATAATACTCTTCAATTAACCAGCAAAAAGCCAGAGCTGTGGCTCAAATGGGAGAGTGCCAGCCCTGAGTGAAACAATTAAGGAACATCACTCACGGGAAAAAAAAAAAAAGAAAACACTCACGGGAAAAAAAAAGAAAACAAGAATGGAAGAGGAAACAGGTCTTCTGTGAAGGTACTATTAATCTGTAGTTTCCAGGAATTTCTTCAAAAAGCTCCTTTGCCAAGAGATACTAAATAAAACTAGATACTAAAATAACAATTTTATGAAAAAAACTGTACAGAGGGAGGGAAGGTATGACACTGTCAAAAAAAGAAATCCTACTACTCAGGAGGCTGAGATTTGAGGATCACAGTTCAAAGCCAGCCTGGCAGTTAAATCTGGGAGACTTATCAGAAAACCGAAGTGGAACTGTGACTCAAGCGATAAAGAGCTAGCTAGCCTTGACAAAAAATCTTAGGGACAAAGCCCAGGCCCCGAGTTTGAGTCCCACGATGGGAGGGGCGAAAAAACACAAAAGTTTTACTATTCTCTTCTTCCACCACTTTGGAAATTACGCGCATTCATATCAAACTCTTGCTGCAGATCAAGTTCTACATGGAAGCCTGCGGTGTACTGCAGGTCGGGAGGTCTGATGAGGGAGCAAGGCTCCATCCCCGTGTTCTGTCACTCAGCTGGAGAGCAGCAGAGCTGACCGTCACATCAGACCGGAGATTACAAGGAGGGTCTGTGACCCAGGGAAGAGCACCCACGAGCTAATAAGCAAGCTGGCGCCGCAGAAGCGGGTCTGGGAGCCTGGCGGCGGCGCCCTTACCTTCAGGGCCTCCTCCAGGTTCCCGCTGGTCTGGTGCAGGGCCCGCTTGGCCGCGTGCGCCGAGTAGCCCATTCGTCTCAGGGAGTCGATGCTCTCCAGCCGGCGGCGCTTCTTCTCCTTCTCCTCCCTCCTTATCTGGGCCAGCTCCTTAGGAAGACAGCAGTCCCACCGAGTCAGAGACCAGGCATGGCCTCCGCGTGTCCCTGTGCCCTGCAGGTTCTCAAAGCTGCCACAGGGACCTCCGCTACCTGCTCTCACCCCGTCAAGCCCTGGAGAAGAGCTTTGCTCTGTGGGGACCCCCCTGCGGTGAAGTGCCCAGGGTTCAGCACATGGTGGGGGCTCCTGGGTGACGAGAGTGCTGCTGAGCCCCCCCCCCCGCTGGCCATACTTGGAACCCACAGAATGCTCAAGGGGGACAAAGGACAGCTCAACCCACAGCTGTGCAACCTGCTCCTTGGAGGGGCCTGAGCTGGGTGCAAACAGCTATAGTCCCTTCCTTCTGCCCCACTAGGCCCTAACTGGAAGCACCTAACAATGGAGACACACATAAAAGTGTGACTAAAAAAAGGAGATTTTAATGCTAAGACAAAAAATAAAATAAAGTCAAGTACGGTGGCTCATGCCTGCTACTGAGAAGGCTGAGCTCCATGGATTACAGTTCAAAGCCAGTTCCAACAAGAAAGTCTGTGAGACTCTTTTCTCCACTAAACTACCAAAAAAGCTGGGAAAGGAGCTGTGGCTCAAGTCACAGAGTTCTAGCCTTGAGCAAAAGAGCTCAGAGACAGTGCCCAGGCTCAGTTCAAGCCTCAGGATGAGGAAAAAAAAAAAAAAACTAGGGCTGGGAATGCAGATCAGTGACACAGCACCTGTCTAGCTTGTGCAACGCCCTGGGTTTGATGCCCCGCACAACAATAAATAAGTAAAAATGTAAAGAGGTTTGCAAACCATTCATTCAATCCAATCCCATCCCTCAAGGCTAGTGCTCTACCACTTGAGCCACAACTCCACTTGTGGCTTTCTGCTGATTAATTGGAGATGAGCCCAATGGACTTCTCTAACCAGACTCACTTTTAACTGTTATTCTCATGTTTCAGTCTCCTAGGACTACCGGTGTGAATCACCAGCTCCTGGCCTTTGCTGGTTATTTTGGTGACAAGACCACATGGAATTTTCTTCCTGCTGGCTTCAAATCAAAATCCTCCCTAACTTAGCCTCCTAAGTCTGGATTACATACGTAAGCCACTGGCACCCAGCTTGGATTTTATTTTTGAAATGGGGTATTACCAGCAGCACGAGTGGCCTTGAACTTGCAATCCTGCCACTACCACCTCCTGAGTAGCTGGGATTTATGGGCATGAATCATGGAACCTGGTTTTAAGATTACTTAACATACTTAAGCCTAAATTATCCTAACTGCCCCGCTGGAAAACCCTTTACAAAGGTGTTCAGAAACATATTTTGGTATTGAGAACCAGAAAGAGACTGAAAGAAAAAGACTGCTTGTGTAACCTCCACCATGGTAAGAGGCTATACCATCTGGAAATCAATTCACTGAAAAGACAAGTTACTCCTTTTCTTTTGGATCTGGAGTGAAAAAATCATGCCTTTGTTATTAACGCCTCGTGCAGGCTGGGCTGCTTTGCTCTTTCCTACCCTAGGGAGCTCAGGCATTTCTAAAACAATCCTGCTCTGCCTCACACATCACAGCCCCTCAGGAGCGTGGGCTGTGGAAGCAGTGGCCAGCTACCTCTCTGCGGTTGGAGATGTGAGTAGCTGCATGATCCACGTTCCCATCACAGGCTCGCAGGCCAAGCCGGGCTTCCTGGGCCGTGAAACCCAACTGCAACAAGTTGTGAACTTTCGACGGATCAATATACAGCTCTTTAAAGAGCTGACTTGCCTACAAACAGGGAGAAATACAAGTCATGTAACCATAGCAACCCCAAAAGCTTAGCAAAACTGAAAGAAACTCGACCGTTCTCTGCATGAATACCGTGTTGGATTTTTAGATGGAAACTTTAACCAATCTATTATCAACCAGTAGGATGGAAACAGACAACTGTCTATGTAACTTATCTGTAATATAGCATGGTGACTGGGTGAGGTATTGTGGAAGTAACTGCTATACAGGATCCCCTTCATTTTTGTTAACGAAAGTCTCTGAGTTTGGGCACTACTCTCCCTTACAGTAAGGCCTGGCAAGGTGGTAAAGTCTAGGGCAAGGTCAATGACCTATAGCCACTTCCAGGTCCTCTCTTCATTTAGAGGTCAGATGACTCTCTGGCTCCCTCTGCAGGTAGCAGAGGCAGCTGCAGGAGCGACCCACAATGCTGGGGTGCAGCATCTGTTTTTGAGTTGTCCTTATTAAGGCCTCTGGCCTGCAGGCAAACAAGTATGTTTACAGAATACCACAGGAGAGGATGCACTTCTCTCAAAAGTCACAAACTGCTGGCTTGATAGAGTACTCTTCACTTCCAGGATTAGGAAGAGCTGATGAAAATGGCTACCCGGAAGTCGTCTTACCTTGCTGAGATACTCCCGAGCCTCTTCTCCATTCCCACTGTGATAATTTCGTATCCCCTGAAGCAGGTAGAGTCTTAAAAACAACACCTTCTCCTTCCCGCAATTTCCCTAGTTATCAGATAAAGTTAAGGGGATAAAGCATTCTTGTTTGCAATTACAGGTGTACAGTGTTCACATTTCCAATTCCCTTTGTCTCACAGGGCATAATGTCCACAGACTCACTACTGCTGATGCAGTAGTGAAGACTCCTCCACATGGGAGGAAACTGGGGCTGGGATGCCTGTCTCCGGCCATCTAGGACACTACAGCACATAGGTAGGTCACTGACTGTCTCCAGGGTAGGGGACTGTCGGGGGTCTATGACTAGCAAGCTGTGTTTGACACAGCTAGATTCAGAAACATGTAACACATGCTGCAATCTTACAAAGAACACACTGCACAGCCACATCCAGACCAACTCACCCCCGGCAGCGATCTAGTGGAACAGGGATAAACAGATTCCAAAGATGTGTGACATGAAACAAAGGACAGTGACATACTTTGATGTGGACCAGCCTCTGATGATTTTCTCCGTAACAATTTTTAAAGCAGTTCTGGGCCAAGTTTAACTTTTTCTCGGCATCATCAAGGCACTCCAGCTGCTCCAGGCGGAAGTAGCACCAGACTATGTCCAGCTGGAGCACGGCGTAGTTATCCACCGTGTCCAACAGCTCCCTGCAGCACTCACTGCAAGGAGAAGGAGGCATCACTGACCGGCTGGCCCCACGGGAAGCCTCGTGGGACTTACTGGACTTCTCTTCAGGTCTTGCATAGGCTGATTAAAGTCAACCACATAACCTGAGTCCCTCCAGTGGAAAAGAGAAAAAAAAAGGCGTAGGAATAGCAGCCTAACACTCCTGACCCAGGACATGAGGAAGCCAAGCTTGAACACAGTGGTGCTGGCCCAAACTACCAACTAGAACCACCAAGACACAGGAGCTGATCCTCTTTTTGCAAGAAATACTGCTGCTGAGACGTGCTAGATGTTGTATTTCTAAGATGTCCTTGGGTGACTCCAAGGTATGGGACAGGTTGTGATCTCTGCTTTCCAGGCATTGTCCCCTCTTGCCCTCGCTAGGACGGTGGCTAGCAGGTGGTGGCTCTGACAAGGCACCCGTGCTCAATCACACTCCAGAGGGGGAAACAATCTAGCACATGCCTGCTAGAGCCTCACTCAACTTCTGAGGGCCTGTGGACAGAGTAAAGGCCACTTTACCACTGGCTGGACACAGTACAGGGAAAGAAAGACAAGACAATAAGTAGAAGGCAGTTTGGTTTAGGAAGAATGCAGACAGAGACAGTTACCATGACGACTTGTTTGGCCATTACTTATTGGTGCATGTCTGTAATCCCAGCATTTGAGAAGTAGAGGCAGGAGGACTGTGAGATCAAGGCCAGACTAGACAACAGAGATAGTTCCAGGCCAGCCTGTTAAACTGTATGATGCAAGTCTAGATCCCAATTCTTTAATAAGGAAGGCCATCTGTTTAAAATAAGACCGCACATCCTCCTCGGGCGCTGGTGGCTCACACCTGTAATCCTAGCTACTCAGGAGGCTGAAATCTGAGGATTGTTGTTTAAAGCCAGCCCAGGCAGAAAAGTGCCATGAGACTCATCTCCAATTAACCACTGAAAACCGGAAGTGACACTGTGGCTCAAGCGGTAGAGCTTTAGCCTTGAGCACAAAGAGGCTCAGGAACAGCACTGAGGCCCTGACTTCAAGACCCCAAACCAAGGCGGGGGTGGGGAGGTTGGGAGGGGTGATGGGAGTGGGGTGCACATCCTCAAGTTTCCACCCTGGCTATGGCTACGCGCTCAGCAGCCCCAAATCACACAGAATTGCTCGTCTTTTTTTTTTTTTTTTTTGTCGGTTGTGGGGCCTGAACTCTGGGCCTGGGCGCTGTCCCTCAGCTCTTCAGCTCAAGGCGAGCGCTCTACCACTTGAGCTACAGCGCCACTTCCGGTTTTCTGGTGGTTTTTATTGGAGATAGGAGTCTCATGGTCTCTCCTGCCCGGGCTGGCTTTGAACCGTGATCCTCAGATCTCAGCCTCCTGAGTAGCTAGGATTACAGGCGTGAGCCACCAGCGCCCGGCTTAGAATTGCTCGTCTTTATCCTTTAACACAGTGCTCTCCTCCAGGGCAGGCTTAGAGTCCATTGGGGAGAGCAAAAAAAACTAATGTATTAAAGAAGTATTTTTGCATTTACTGTTTCTCTCTTTTTTCATTTATTGTCTCTTAACAGTCTAGTCTTTAATACACATCACATTTTACACACACACACACACACACACAGAACCAGGTCAAGCACTCTCCCACTCTGCTGCTTAATCAGAGAACTTGCTCCTTTGGAGAAGAGGACTAAGGTGTGACCTATACTCAGGAGAGTTCCTGACAACCACAGGAATGCAATGGCTATCTGCCACACTCATTCTCATTTCTTACAAGCCTCAACAGGCTTTTTCATGATTAATAAATATCAAGAGCAAGAAGAATAAAACCAATGTGTGCCTAAGTGTGACCTGACCTAGAATCTTATAGGCAGAATGAAAACAAAAAGATAGCAAAGCACAGGTCTCCTATTACTGAGGTACATTATATTCTATTTCAAGAAATCACTACATATTATAACTTTGAAATGATTAGGCCTAAACTTGAATCTGATCATGTTAATTAGGAAAATCAAGGCTTTAAAAAGGATGGTATAAGCTGGGTGCTGGTGGCTCTTGCTTGTAATCTTAGCTACTGAGGCTGAGAATGGAGGACTGTGGTTCAAAGCCAGCCCACACAGACAAATCCAAGACACTCTGACAGAAAACAAAAAAATCCCAAACAAATAGAACTGGAGCTGTGGCTTAAGTGGTAAAGCACTAGCCTTGAGTGAAAAAGCAAAAGGACAGCATCTAGAACCCCAGGTTCAAGCCCCAGGACTGGCACAAATAGATAACATGGCATATTGCAGTGGTGCTTCCTGCCTGGCTCAAGTAGAAGGTAGAAAAACAAAAGCAAGAACAAAGCACTTGAAGTGATGAGAGTGGGAGGGGCCGTGTGAAAGCTGGATCATTTCCCTTAATAATGGATCCACCAAGCATGAAAGTGCTTACCAGAAATATCTGTCAGCATCCAAAAGACATGGCAAGGCTATTCCATATTCCTTTCTTTTCAGGAAAGCTCTACCCTTCTCATGATAGCCCATTGCTAACATAAGTGCCTAGAAAAGAACAGATATTCCTAAAAACATCACTTTAAGATATAAAACAAGGAGCCGGGCATAGGTGGCTCAGGCCTATAATCCTAGCTACTCAGGAGGCTGAGATCTGAGGATCGCAGTTCAAAGCCAGCCTGGGCAGAAAAGTCCCTGAGACTCTTATTTCCAATAAACCACCAGAAAACCAGAAGTGGCGCTGTACCTCAAATGGTAAAGTGCTCGCCTTGAGCTAAAGGGCACAGGGACAGCACCCAGGCCTAGAGTTCAAGCCCCATGACTGGAGAAAAAAAAAAAGATATAAAACAAGTTATACTAAAAGCATATTAGTTACAAAGAACAGCAAATAAAGTAAGAAAGACCACAACTCAATCTAACAGGCAGGAAGAAAAATATAAACACTGGAGCAGAACTCTCAGTTTTATGGGTCTACAGTAGACCAGGCCAGGTTTTTATCTGTTCACTTTTAGTATCTGCTGATCTAGATCTACTCTTAATGCTCTGTAAGATTCAATGCATTAAAAAATAGCCAGGTTTTTTTTTTAAGTATTTTTGCCAGATGACACTGTTTTTTTTGTGTGTGTACAAGCCAGTCCTGGGACTTGAATTCAGGGACTGGGTGCTGTCCCTGAGGTTTTTCACTCAAGGCTGGTGCTCTATTACTTGAACCATATCTCCAATTGTGCTTAGTTGGAGATAAGAGTCTCACAGACTTCCCTGCCCAGGCTGGCTTCAGACAGCAATCCTCAGATCTCAAGCCTCCCGAGTAGCTAGGATTACAGACGTTGAGTGAGCCACTGATACCCAGCTTTGTAATCTAATTATTGCAGACATTTTGTTATACTAATAGCAAAGGTAAGCGTGATCCAGAACTTTTTGAAGTTTGTTAATTTTTTAAGTTTGAATTTTTACATAATTCAGTCTTATAAACATGTTCCAAAAGATCTAGATACCATCACTTAGTAGTGCCGGTGGCTCACACCTGTATCCTTGCTACTCAGGAGGCTGAGTTGTGAGGATCATGGTTCAAAGCCAGCCTGAACAGGAAGGCCTGTAACACTTAATCACCAGAAAGCCAAAAGTGTGAGGCCCTGACACCAAGCCCCAACACCAGCAGAAAATAATTAAGGAAAATAAATATTACTAACTTTAAATGAAATAACTCAAATCGTTAAGTGTGATTTACACTAAATTTAGGCTGACCCTAGTCAGTACACCTGGGCCTGGCTCAGGGATGGTAAACAAGGCACCAGCCCCTCACTCTAGCCCCCACTGGCCCAGCACTTACCTTTCTCTCTGATGGGGGAATTCTGATTGATCTGCCTGTCTGGTTTGCAATGTCCAAGTACGGCATGGTTTCTGGATCCACCATCTCAGCTGGAACAAAGAACTCCATTAATTTGGGTTAAACAGCAGCAACAGTATGATTCATGGTCCTCTGTATGTGGAAGTAAGGTGCTGTCCGAAAGCCACATGTACCTCTCTCTGCCAGTATCTCTAGTCCTCTTTTCATCCTCTGAATTCGTTTCTCTTTGAGTTCGGCTTCATTTTGCTCCTCTTCCTCTACTTGGAAGTTTTTCCTCACATCCTCTTCAGATTGTTTTAGTTCAAGCACCATGGCCTTGACATTGTGAGTCACTCCTTGTTCTTCAAGGCTTTTTCCTACAAACATCAAAATGGCTGTCTTGTAAGCTCACTGAACAACCATTCATTTCCAGTGTGAATGGAATTGCAAAGCCTGCATTCACACTTGCAAACACCAGGTTCTCATTGGTAAGGATGTGTTTAAATGTAGTTGTGGAACTTTGTACCTGTTAAGCAGCCCTGAACTCAGGCACTTGAAACCAAAACCAACTAAATTCATCCCTCCCAGTTTTCTTTTTTCTACTCTAAGACCAAATCAAAGGCGCAAGTATTTGAGAATCTACCACAGGCAGAGCAGTGTGATAGGCAGTATAGAAGGAAAATGAGAAAATGCAATGAACACACAGCTTTCCTCCCCTCTAATAGGAACGTAGAAGTTACGGCCCGGGGCGAAGATCCCACACCACCTGATGGAGCCTGAGGAGGCGGAGCCTTTGGAAGAGCTGCGATGCTCTGCGTGGCTGTGCAGTGCATTTGCCTCCTCCTCCTCCTCGCCTTCATCCCGGCAGCACTCACAGCCACCTAAGTCGCCATCTCCATCAGAGGTCACTGGTGAGCGCCCATATGGGATTTTATATGTTGTTAAAATTACATGGGCTTAGCAGGGCGCTGGTGGCTCACACCTGTAATCCTAGCTACTCAGGAGGCTGAGATCTGAGGATCACGGTTCAAAGCCAGCCCGGGCAGGAGAGACCGTGACTCCTATCTCCAATAAACCACCAGAAAACCTGAAGTGGCGCTGTAGCTCAAGTGGTAGAGTGCTCGCCTTGAGCTGAAGAGCTGAGGGACAGCGCCCAGGCCCAGAGTTCAAGTCCCACGACCGACAAAAAAAAATATATTATGTGACTTCATAGATTTTTCACCTATGGTGGGGATCTCTAGAATGTAACTCCTGTGATAGGTGAGGGATCACTGCGTCCCTCAGATTTGTCTGCCCAGGCTGGTTTCAAACCACGGTTCTTAGATCTCAACTTCCTGAGTAGCTAGGATTTCAGGAATGAGCCATCAGTTCCCAGCCTGAACTTTTTTTTTTTTTTTTTGCCAGTCATGGGGCCTGAACTCTGGGCCTGGGCGCTGTCCCTCAGCTTTTCAGCTCAAGGTGAGCTCTCTACCACTTGAGCTATAGCACCACATCCGGCTATTTCTACTTATGTGTGCTGAGGAATTCAACCCAGGGCCTCACGCATACAAGGCAAGCGCTCTACCACTGAGCCACCTTCCCAGCCCCCAGCCCTGAACTTTTTGATGAGATTAATCCAGCGTTGAATTTTACAGTTTTCGCACCCCATTAAAGCCCTCACAGAAATTAACATCATCCAGTCTGGGCACACTCAAAAACTGTTTTGATTTCTGGAAGGCTTAGATTGGAAAGAACATACTTTGAAACTAACTGGGCAAAAAGTCTAAGACTCCATTCTTTTTCTTTCTTTCTTTTTTTTTTGGTGCTGGTCCTGGGGCTTGAACTCAGGGCCAAGGCTCTGTCCCTGAGCTTGTTTTGCTCAAGGCTAGCACTCTACCACTTGAGCTTCAGCTTTTTCTAAGTAGTTTGTTGGCAATAAAGAGTCTCATTGCCTTTCCTATCCAGGCTGGCTTCAAACTGCAGTCCTCAGATCTCAGCCTTCTGAGTAGCTAGGATTACAGGCATCAACTATCAGCTCTTAGTTTAAGACGTCCATTTTTAACCAATAAAAACTGGCATGGTGGTACATACCCTGTAATCTCAGCTAGGTAGAAAGTAAAAATTCAAGGTCACAGCCTAGGCTAGGCTGGGCAAAAGGGAGACCCACTTTGAAAAATAAAAGCAAAAAAGGCTATCTAGCCAGCACAGGACCCTGAGTTCAAACAGAGTACTAAACAAAAACAAAAACAAAGCAAAAAAAGCCCCACCCCTGTTGTATTTCATAGAAGGAGGAGCCACCAAGCTGCTGGTATGCAGGCTGGGTTCCTTGGGGTTCTTGCTAGCGAAGTGCTGCTCGGAGTGCTCAGCACTTCCCCTCTGCAGAAGCACCAGGTAAAGGGTTGTGTGCCCAATGGCAGAGCCACCGCATACCGGCTGCAGTGGCTGTCATCTAGGCCATTATTTCTGCATTAGACAGATGTGCATTCTTTGCTGTAACATACCTAGCTGGAGCTGTTTCTTATTTATGACAATCTTGATGTAATTTTCTTGAAATCCAAAGGTTTCAGCTATTCTGGAAAAAAAAAAGAAAAAAACCCAGTGAGAACTGTAGAAACACCAAGTGTTTATTATCTATTAAAAATATTTTAGGAGCTAGGAATGTGGTAGAGTGCTTGCCTAGTATGCATGAAGTCCTGGATTCAATTTCTCAGTACTACATGAACAGAAAAAGCCAGTAGTGATACTGTGATTCAAGTGGTAGAGCACTAGCCTTGTATGCAGAGAGGCTCAAGGACAGTGTCCAGGCCCTGCCTGAGTTCAAGCCCCAGGACTGGCAATAAATAAGTAAATAAATAAAATAAAAATTAGTTGCCAGGTGTCAGCAGCTCAGACCTGTAATCCTAGCTACTTAAGAAGCTGAGATCTGAAGACTGCGGTTGGAAGCCTGACAGAGACGTCCCCTGAGATGCTTATCTCCCATTAGCCACTCGAAGTGGAAGTAGAGCTGTGGCTCTAAGTGGAAGGGCACCAGCCTTGAGCAAAAGAGCTCAAGGACAGTGCTCAGGCCCTGAGTTTAAGCTCCATGAACAACAGAAAGAAATTTCTTTTAAATCATTGCCATTTTGTACCTTTTCTTCAAACCAAGCAGGTTCACTTGGGACTACTAGAAACAGGAGGAGGAAAGTCCTTTCTTAAACTGCTCCCTATTTGTTTCCTCATGAGCCGTGCTATCTACCCATTTCATTAGGAGGCTTAAAAACAGCCAAGTGAATTCTGTTTGTCAGAAGCAAATCCTCTCCCTTCCAGGGTGGTCTTTTTGGAGAAGCTGAGATCAAAGGTCATCCATACCACTGTCTACTCCAGACTGAAGGAAGCTTCTTCAGTCCACCCCTAGACAGCCTGAAGTGACCAAAGGTGATAATCAGAGTCAGGTGGAGAAAGTGATAGGCTAGCCTGGCAGGTGCCCAAACCATCAGTGAAACAACTTGCCAGATCTCAAAGTTAGGATGTGGTATTTTTACAGATGAGAACACAGCCTGAAATCACATCAAATTATTATTGCACTGAGAACAGAAAAACAAAACAACAACAACAAAAAAAACATGTGATCTGACAGGCCTTGGTGGCTCATGTCTGGAACTCTATCTACTCAGGAGGCAGAGAGCTGAGGATCAAAATTTGAAGCCAGCCTAGACAGACAAATCTAGGATACTCATATCCAGTTAACCACTAAAAAGTCAGAATTGGAGGCATGGTTTAAGTAGTAGAGTACCAGCTGTGAGTAGAGTCAAGTAAAGTGTAAGGCCCTGAGTTCAAGTCTCAGTACCAGCACCAAAACCTCTCACAATCTGCTGAACCAGACTCTCTCCCATGTCTGTTCCTCATCTACTCCTTTCTGTGTGGGCTGAGCACCTGTGATGGTAGGTCAGCACTTCCCAGCTCCACCTGAAGCTGCCCTGGACAGAGAGGAGCAAGCAGTTTGTCCAGTGGTTCTGGGCCTCTCACATGTCAGTGTGAGTCCCAAAAGCCCTCCCTGACCAGTCTCAGCTTTCTCTGCTATAAAGTGAGGATAGGACCCATGCTACCTACTTGCAGGAAGACCAGAAGGATCAAATGAACCAGTGTACAGAGGAGCACAGCACCCGAACAGCGTCAGGTACTTACTTAGACCTCAGATCTCTGCCAGTGACGTGCAGTCGGGTCTCTAGCAAGCTCTTCCTGTCCTGTTTAAAAATGAGAAACAAAATAAAATGTTACTTGGAGCTATCGAGCTATGAGAACAGAAAAACTGACATCTGAGGATATAAACCTCGTCCCTGGTCCAGGACTAAAATGTCTGGAAAAACCAAGGGGGCTGGAGCTGACAAGGTGCCGTGAACGTCCTCCAAGGGGCCGCAGTAGGCTGCCAAGCACCAGTCACAGGGGCAGCCAACCTTAGAACCAAATTTCACAACACTTTCATTCACTTTCCCTCAAATACCATGCCTTGCCCTACCATTTCTTCCCTTCTTTCCCCAGCCCCTCTCTCTACAGATTTGCTTGTTCTGAACATTTTGTAATAGATTGTACAGTGTGGCCTTTGATTCCACATGATTTGAGGTTCACCAGTGTTGTGTACGTACTCGTATTTCATTATTCACTAGTAAGTAGTTTTCTATTATATGACAATGCCACTTGTTTGTCCATTCATATACTCCTGGACGTTTGGAATTTCCTCCAGGTTTGCCTGTATGAGTGGCGTGATCATGAATCCTCACATACATTTTACATACATATACTCCCAGCTCTGGAAATGGTCACATGGCCGGTGCTAAGGCACTTGTCTGGCCACAGTAGCATTACGGAGCCGCTGAGGCCCTGCCTGAGCAAGCAGCAGAGCAGGGAAAGGGAACTGTGGCTTGAGAGTGTTCTCTAAAAAGCCTGGTGGCCACTTTAGCTCACAGCAAATCCTGACCACTAATCCTGAGCTCTGAATCATTGTGCCAGCGGTGCCTGCCTGTCCCAGTCAGGAGGCTGAGGTCTGAGGATGGAGGTTCAAAGCCAGCCCAGGAGGGAAAGTCCCTGAAACTCTCATCTCCAATGAACCACCACAACACTGGAAGTAGCACTGAGGCTCAAATGGTAGAGTGCTAGCCTTGATCCGGAGACCTGAGGGACACTGCCCAGACCCAGAGTTCAAGCTCCATGACTGACGGGGGGGAAGCTCTGAGCAGCCAAAAAGAACAAACCTTGGGACTGGGCTCCAGAACCTCAACAGCCAATGGAAAGTGGCCTAAAGAAATTTTAATTTAGGACTATAGTTGAACAAAAACAATTCCTGGGATCACATCACTAAGTATTGGTTCCAAAGTTAATTTGAAGGAATTACTCACTTTTCGTAGCCTTGCAGGTAAAAACACCTCAATTGTTGCAATTCCTGTTGTCTTGTAATTTTCATTTCCTGTTCCACGCTCGATTGCTTTGCAACGTATTTCTTCTATTATATTCTCAACTTCATTTTCACAGCAGTCTAGCTTGTCAGAGTACTTCTTGGCAAGGTCCTAGGAAGAAGCAGCAGCAAGGAGAGCTCAATGCAATGCCAATGAGAAATGAGCACAGGCAAGCCAGGAAAGGGCACAAGGGCCTGTGGGGCAGAAACTGAGGAGTTTATGTATGGCATATGGAAATCCAGTCATGGCTCTTATGATCCCAGGAAAGAGAAATTCCACAGACAGACAGTAGAACAGGCTCAGCAGAAAATGTGAAAACAATTGGGACTATTCTGAGGACAGGAAGAGTAGTTTATGATCTTTGTGACCAGAAAACAGTAAGAAACGACTATTCATTTTTGTACTGGAGCTTCACCTTAGGGCCACTGCCTGGCTTTTCCCACTTATGGCTGGTGCTCTACCGCTTGAGTCCTATCTCCATTTCCAGTTTTTTGCTGGCTAGAGATAAGTTTCCAGATTTGTCTGCCCAGGCTGGCTTCAAACTCTGATCATCTTTAGATCTCAGCTTCATGAGTAACTAGGATTACAGGCGTGATCCACCAAAGTAAAGCAGAAGAGATTAAGTCAGGCACTGGTGGCTCACGCCTATAATCCTAGCTACTAAGCCTATAATCCTAGCTACTAAGGAGATGGAGATCGTAGTTCAAAGTCAGCCCTGCAGGAAGTCCATGAGACTCTTATCTCCAGTTAGCCACCAAAAAGTCAAATATTGAGCTGTGTCTTTTTTTTTTTTTTGTCAGTCATGGGGCTTGAACTCTGGGCCTGAGCGCTGTCCCTCAGCTCTTCAGCTCAAGGCTAGCGCTCTACCACTTGAGCTACAG